ATATTTTTTTCATCCCTGTTCCTCCCTCACTTTCTTAATTGTTATTTTATTGTATTAGATGTATAAATTCATTCCACTTAAATCATTATCTTTTCCATGTTACTTTCCATTCTCATTCATTATTCATCAATTTTCTAAACTCTTTTATGACTATTTTTAATTATGAAATTTCCATATAGTCATATAGTCTTGGAAACCTAAGCCTTAAGAAATTTAGTGAAGTATCTTTCCAAGATTTTATCTAGATCCAAAACTTTGCTTTTTACTCTCTATTTTGGTCAAATTATCTCCATGTTTTTTTCTCCTTTCATACTTCTCTTAAATTTTTTATCATATTGACCTATTTTGATGTTCACTCCTTCCAATAAAATCTTTTCAATATCCATGTTTTGATTCAAGAATTTCTCTCTTGAAATAATTTTCATCCTTATCTAATCTTTGTTTCCATTTAACTAATAAAGTTTTTTTTTGAAGAACTTAATATGTTTTGTGTTTTATGTCCGTTTCTCTTTTCATATTTGATTTACTTAAGTTCTCTCATTTTATCCAAATTATTTTTCTACCTTATTTTTCCATTTCACATAAATTTTTTAATTTACTAATATACTTATTCCTTTTAGAATTTATAAAAGGAGAAATAGTTAAACATCTTAAAATTAATTACAAAAAAGGATATCATAAGCGATATTACCTATTTAAGTATAATAAAAATGCCAATTTTTAGAGAAAAAAAATTAACAGTATTGTTTGACCTGTGATACAAATAGCTTATGCATATATAACTTTATTTTTTCTTGTCATGAGTAATTCCAAATTTCAGTTCTCTAATAATTTTTCTAATTTTTTATATATTTTAAATTCTGTTATAAAGCCTTCTATCCGTTTTTCTTCCCTATATAACATATAATTCCTTTATACTTAAATAATTAAAATTTAAAAAGAATTAAATTACGTTTTAATTCCTATATAATATAAGAGTTATGATTTTGGTCCTTTAATATTTTTATTTTACATTTAAACATTTAAAAGAAAATTAAAAATTAACTTAATCTTATATTTAATTTAATTTCATTACATAATTAGAAATACATTCAAAAAAATGAAAACAGCCAATCATCATCATAGAAGTTCACCACCAATACCACCGACCAAAAATCACCACCACTACAAATACCCATAGGGGTATTGTAGGAAATTTAAAAATCACATGACAGCAGGAAAACAGGAAGGTGCAAAAAAAGGAAAGAAACAGCTTAATTAAATTATAACTTCAGGGTATTTTAGTCTTTCTGTTGTTAGACACGGTGCAGGAATTATTATGAGCTTCTACTTTCTGCACTCCAAAAGAATTTTCAAAATAAAATTTCTAGAACAAGTTTCCAGAACTTCTCAAAGAATGTAGGGGAGAAGAAGAGGACCGAGTGACGGTAATGGTTGTGGTGGCGGAGACAACAGCTGCATGGTGCAGCAAACGAGGGTATATACAAACTTGAAACAATAAATTAATTCTGCATCAGATCCCAAAAACATTGTTGAGCTTTGTTGAAGTAGATATGCTAACTAGCTCAATGACAAAACGAAAAGTGTTCATCAAAAAGCAGAGATAAAAGAGTGAATTTTTGGAGTAGGACTTCAGCATTGGCATATCCGTGATGGTCTTTTCCTTTTGTTTGTTCCTTTCACAGTGCTTCTCATGTTACTGGCAGTTATACGTTTATAAACAGAACAATGCATTTCATTCATCTTGCCAAACCTTGTTTCATAGAAGTCCCATATCTCAGACCTGGTTGGAAGAACTTGAGTAAGGAAATTTACACCTAAAAAATAACACCAGAGAACAAAAAGGAAGTTGCAGACTGAGTCATTAATTTTACCAGAATGCTAGGAACTGATAGGGCTCATACTTTCCGTAAATCTCTTCAAGATCACTCTCAATTGTCTTAGAGGTTGTATTTTTTGAATGAACCTGCATAAGCACATCTCATACACATCAAGGGCATTTTTATAATAGACAAAATTAGAAGGAAACCTGAGGTGAGGATAGACATAATGAAACAGGAAAAGCACCTGCTTTAAGTGTCTAACAGTTTCAGAATCCCATGGAATGGCATGATAATATCCCAAACACATAAGTACATTGGCGCGAGTAAATGGGCCAAACCCCTTAATTTGCTTGAGCTGATCACCAAGCTGCTTATAGCAGGACAAGCTTGCATCTTTCGACAGCTCTTCAAGCTGTTCTAATTGAATTTTTCCTTCAACAATGGCCTTCGCAAGTTCTAATATATAACGTGCTCTGTACCCAAGTCTGCATCGCTTTGCCAGAAAACTCTCACTAAGGTTTGCCAGCTCAATTGGGGAAGGAAAATTTCCAGTACGGTCAAAGTACTGTCCTTCAGTGGGGAACTGATAACATGAATCATCTGAACCAAGCACCTCCGAATCGCCATTATCTGGTGGAAGCGAGGTTGTGTCTGAACTTTTGTCCATTTGCAGATTTCCATCCACTTCCAATTCCAATTCCAATTCCAACTCTAATTTCTTCTTAAGTAGCGCGCTCTTTGTTGGAGCCTTCTTTCTCCGGTTTTCTTTAGAAGCTGGTGTCTTGGGAACGAATCCTTCAGCTTCAACTTTTGGGTTGCTCGGCCCTACAACATTACAGTGCAACCCATTTTGCAGTTCCAATTGAAGCTCACAGAGCGCCTGAGCCATATTCAATGTCCTTGGCCACCTGAAAGATTTTGTTTATGCACTTAACCCCATCACAACATCGGACAAAAACAAAGTGAAAGCAAAGAGCAAACAAACCCCACCACAACAATTGACAAAAACAACGTTTTCCACGCCAACAGAGTGAGGAACAGAACAAATAAAGGGTCAACAACTATTCTCATCTACAAATACGTGACAATTTAATCCCAGAAACAACAAAAGTTCTAACCTAATTCAATGCATACAAAAGGGCAACAACTAAGTAATGTGCATATGTTTTGTGGCACTATCTTGTCATAAAAGAGTAATTTTTAAAGACCAATTTGACACAACTAAGTTGAATTCCATTGTGCTAACTGGAATTTGACATTTGAAAAGTACATCAAAAACTATTGTCAGCCGTTTACACATCTAACGACCAAAATATTTCTTTACCCAGACACGACTCACTGGCAGTTGCAGAGGAGTATGCACTTAACCATGTCCTCGAACAACGTGGGAGACCTAAACACCCGTCCACCGAAGCTTCTATTTGGATGATCAGCGTGCACGCGTCTGAACTCCCTTACGGCCTTTTCCTCCGCTTGGGACAGCCGCAGCATTCTGGAAATCCGAGCCTACAACCGCAACGGAAGAAGCGAATTAAGAATGAGTAGCGCGAAAAGAAACGACTTTTTACAGAGTTGAGTACCGTGATGTGACGCTGTTGTTGGGGAGAGATGGAATGGAAGGCATGAACCCTAACGGCGAGCAATTGAGAGCGATGGGACATGGAAACGAGGAGGGAAGAGGAAGAAGAAGAAGGGTTGTGGAGAAGGAGTGGACGAGTTAAGGTTTTGGAGAGAGGGTCCCAACGGTTGGGTGCCATCATGAAAAAGCCGTGACTGCAGACTGCTTGCTCCAACTGGAATGGCTCTGATTCGGAGGGAAGCTCCATGTGGAATTCGAACCATGTTNACAGCCGCAGCATTCTGGAAATCCGAGCCTACAACCGCAACGGAAGAAGCGAATTAAGAATGAGTAGCGCGAAAAGAAACGACTTTTTACAGAGTTGAGTACCGTGATGTGACGCTGTTGTTGGGGAGAGATGGAATGGACGGCATGAACCCTAACGGCGAGCGATTGAGAGCGCTGGGACATGGAAACGAGGAGGGAAGAGGAAGAAGAAGAAGGGTTGTGGAGAAGGAGTGGACGAGTTAGGGTTTTGGAGAGAGGGTCCCAGCGGTTGGGTGCCATCATGAAAAAGCCGTGACTGCAGACTGCTTGCTCCAACTGGAATGGCTCTGATTCGGAGGGAAGCTCCATGTGGAATTCGAACCATGCTGTTCCTTCTGGGTGCTCGCTGCAATGACGGTGGCAACCCTGGTTTTGTGTGTCCTCCATTAGAATTATCTCATTCTCTTATCCGAACATACCATACCAACCATTAAACTGGATTTTCTCTTAGGTTAATGTGCGAGTGAGTATAGTGCAACTGTGCGAAGTGGAAGGTGTTGTTCCATGAGTGAAATTGTTTTTAAATTTTAAAGTATAAAATATGGTTATATTTGTAAAATTAGTTTTTAACATCAGTGGCAACATGAACAACCATTCAAAAGTTTTTCCTTCATTTTTTTATTGAAGTTTCTTATTGTTTCTTTTTAAATTTAGCTTAGTTGCTTTGTCTCCACGTTAACAAAAGTTGAAATTAATGTTGTCGCTTATTTTAGTATGCTTTTTGTTTGTGTCGTAGTCTTCTGATGAGGGAAAGAGCAAGTCAACTATGTGGCAAGTACATATCTTCTGTACATGTTGTAGCCAGATAATGACATGTAAGATTGTCTGCAGGATTTAGACAGTGAGAGAGTTAAGTTGCGAGGAAGCATTCAAAACCTGATAAAGTCAACTTTGCATTGGTGAGCAATCACAGCTATTTTATTATGCCTTATTGCCAAAGTTCAAAACCTTTCTGCTTCATCGAAGATTTCGTGTAGATGGTAAAAAAACAATTATTCATGATACACAGCTAGCCGGTTTCTTTCTTGGTAAATTAGCATGATTTTAATATGGTGTGTTTGTTGACTTAGTATGTTGTTAATCCTTCTGGTCATTTGTTCAAGTGATGCAGGAATGTGCCATCATTTTTTTAGCGGCTATTTTAAATTGTATCACCATATACCAGTTCTTTTCGACATGTTTATCCGTTTAATTTTTTACTATATGAGACCAACACTGGGTAAAAGGAAGAACTATAAGGTTGTTGACTTTTTCTCCATAGATGTCGTAAAGTGGTGGGTTGCTTCACCTGATTGGCACTGAATGCTTCAACAAAGGATCTTTTTATTCAGCATTAGAAAGTTGTATGGGTAGCCAATTTTGGTGTGTCATCCTTTAAGTTGATCATGGGTGAAAGAGCTTTAGTATTCCTACTACTATTTTTCACTCATTCGTTGATTGTACTAGCAAATACAGCAAATCAGGATTGTAAGTTCAGTTGTACTCAAATACTTTTTTCATCATCCAGATGACATTTTTGGTGTACATATATTCAAATCACAAATATTCAATCTGTTTTTCAGTTGCAAAATAAAATCTGAATACTTTATGAGAATCAAATTTTGAAAATAGGCCTCAAGATTTCACTCTTACCTTCTGTAAAGTTTTCGTATGAGGATTCAGTATGAATTTTATTGCTTTTCAATTTCTGACGCAGACACTGCTCTGCTGACTCTAATGAGTGAATGGGATAACGTTCCACCTAATTGGGTGGGTTCAAATCCTTGCGGTGGCTGGGATGGCATTGAGTGTACAAATTCACGCATTACCTCCATGTACTTTATCTTTCAAAGTTTAATTTCATTTGAAATTGCTACCTTCTCCAGAAGTTTCTTCTTTGATATTAACTTTGTTGCTACCATTTCAGATCATTAGCAAGCATGGGTTTGTCTGGTCAACTTGCTTCAGATATTGGATTACTCTCTGAACTCGTGATCTTGTAAGTTTTCTACTTCGGTATTTGTTGTAACACATTATATTCAAGTCAAATACAAATGGATTGAAATATGATCAGCTTCAACCCTAATACTTGATTAGTATTGACATGAGCAGATATCTTAACTTGTCCTTTGAACGTGTGGAATATAAGCCAAAATATTGTTGATGGCTGAGCATTCTGAAAATTAATCTGTTTGGACGCTATATAAGTATTGCATGAAGTCTTCATTTCATTTTCAGTTACAACTTCCCGGATTTGTGACTTTGTTCTTCGTTGATTTTTGCTTTGCAGGGATCTGTCTTACAATAAGAATTTAACTGGACCACTTCCCGATAACATTGGAAAGTTGAGAAAGCTGAAAAACTTGTAAGTCAGCATGAATGTTGTTAAGAACTTAAGATCATAACTCAAGTATGATTTAGCTTGACCAAACAACTCTAACAGTGTTCTTTATTATTTTATTTTCCAGACTTCTTATTAACTGTGGTTTCACTGGTCCTATTCCAGCTACAATTGGAAATCTAGAACGGCTTGTCTTCCTGTAAGGGTTGCTTGATTTAGTTTAGAAGATATGTATAAAAACCTCTTTATTTAGCTTAACCAAGAAATCTACTAATCAGGATAGCATTTGGAGTCCTTTTACTTCCCATATGTACTGGGTTTTTAGTATCATACATCTATTTCTTTTTGCTGTCCCTTATTCTTAATGCTACATATATCTTTTAACATAACAAAGTTTATTTCAATTGCAGATCTTTAAATTCGAATGGATTCACTGGTCCAATTCCAGCTGCCATTGGGAATCTCTCAAATGTGTATTGGCTAGACTTAGCTGAAAACCAGCTTGAAGGGTCCATCCCCATATCCAATGGAACTACCCCTGGTCTTGACATGATGTACAACACAAAGCATTTGTATGTGAAATGCCTTTTGCAAAAGTTGGCATTGCTTTTTCTCTTTAAAATATAGTTTGCTTTATGTCTATCAAAATTCCTCTGATATATTCCATTTTTTTGTAGTCATTTTGGGGTGAATAAGCTTTCAGGAAACATACCTGCTGAACTTTTTAGCTCAAAAATGTCTCTCATTCATGTGTAAGATCCACCCCAATATTTTCTGGAATTTATTTTGCATGGCTGTAAAGCTCAGTAACAACAAAAGGCACATGCCATGTCCCCAATTGAATTTTACCTTGAGGCCACATTATATTAGGGCCTTATTGGTTTCATGTTAGTGACTCTATTAGCCCATATTGGAAAAAAATTACTTTGGGAAATCAATCTCTATATGGTTTCATGCATCGGAATTTTTGTAAACTTGGTCAGGAGGAGTTTTAGTAAACAAACACTTAATTTTTCTATAAACTTTGCACATAAAAGTTTCAAATTACAAATCAGTCGACTTCAAAGCTCCTTTCAAAATCAAGATCATCTAAAATTAAGTTTCAAATGCTCTCACCCATATATGTAGTTAAGTCCCCCTATTGGTCTGTTAATGAACTCTCTCTTTGGTTTAAAAGACCCAGATAAAATATTTCTCGCCTGTTAAAATTAAGTTGGCAAACTGTAGTTGCCTTTATTTGTACATTGAAGGGAAAGAAACACAGTGGTAGGACTCAAGTCAAAACAAGGAGGCTAGAGAGGGCAGGGTCAAATGAAAATGGTGAATTTAATGTATACAATGTTTTTGGCAGGCTTTTTGAAAGCAACCGATTTACTGGAAGCATTCCATCTACACTTGGCCTTGTTAAGTCTCTGGAGGTGGTGTGAGTATCCATATCTCATACTTTAAAAAAGTCAATAGAATTTGTTTCTCTTTTGTCTTTAAATAGTGAAATATTTTGTGGCTGCAGCCGTTTTGATAACAACTTTTTTAGTGGGTCTTTGCCTGAGAACATCAACAATCTTACAAGTGTTAGGGAACTGTAAGTTGAAAAAACTAATATTCCAAACAAATTTTCATTATTTCTTTAGGTATGTGTTAATATCAATTATGATAAATTTTAACTACATTGATGGAGATTTTTATTTCGTGTCTGTCAGGTTCCTGTCCAACAATCGCCTGTCTGGTTCCCTCCCAAACCTTACTGGAATGAATTCCCTCCGTTACCTGTAACTCATTCATCTAAGATAAATTTATTTTCTATATAACATTTGTAATTCAAAATGAATGCAAATTTTGTATCATTGACTAACTTGGTAAATTAAATTAGAGATATGAGCAATAACAGTTTTGATCCATCCAACTTTCCACTGTCGTTGTCCACTCTTCCAGCATTGACGACAATGTATGTAATTCAACTTTCATCCATCAGTTTTACCTTTCCCTACTCTTTCATTTATCAGCTTTCCATTTCTCTCCCAGGTTTCGACTTTCAACACCCTAATTCTCATACTTTTCTTTTGTATGACAGAATGATGGAGAATACAAAACTTCAAGGAGCTATTCCTGTTTCTTTGTTCAACCTGCAACAGTTGCAGACAGTGTGAGTAACAACCTGTATTCTTTTGCAATTTTTTGTTCCTCAAAGTTTGAATATGGTACTTTCAATAGTTATTCCTGTTCATCTTTTGTAGAATGAAATACAAGTTAAATTCTTACCGTGATCCACAGGGTGCTGAAAAACAACCAGCTAAATGGCACTTTAGATATTGGCAAATCCATCAGCGACCAACTGGACCTTCTTGATTTGCAGATTAATTATATTGAAGAATTTAAACCACAAATCGACGTTTCTAAAGTGAAGATAATGTATGCCATAATTGTTTGATTATTTTATTTTAACAGGTTGTTTCATTACTTAGATGAAAAAATTTCTTTGTAAAGTTTCAATATTTTCTTGTCTTTGTTTACAAGGCTTATTTTGAAATACTTCTATATGTGCAGACTTTTGAATAATCCAATTTGCCAAGAGACAGGAGTTCCACAGAGTTATTGTTCCATAACAACACCTAACAACTCATATTCAACGCCACCAGAAAACTGTGTACCTGTTCCCTGCAGCTTAGATCAGACATTAAGCCCGAAATGCAAATGTGCATACCCATATACAGGAACCTTAAATCTCAGAGCTCCTTCCTTCTCAGATTTGGAAAACGAGACTGTCTATGTAACCCTTCAGTTAAGTCTGATGCAGTCTTTTCAACATAATGATATACCTGTTGATTCAGTTTCTTTAAGCAATCCAAGGAAGAACACGTATCAGTACCTTGAATTGACTTTAAAAGTATTTCCATCTGGCCAAGATCGTTTTAATCGAACTGGAATTTCCAGTGTAGCCTTTATTCTCAGCAACCAAACATATAAGCCTCCTTCAATGTTTGGACCATATTATTTTACTTCTGATGACTATGAAAACTTTATGAATGACACAGGTAAATCCAATTCTATATGGTAATGAAATTAAGTATAGTATGTGCTCTATTTTAAGACTACCTTTTTTTCTTGCCCTTTAGTACTAGAAGGTCCTGTGATACCACCTAGTAAATCTTCAAATACTGCCATCATAGCTGGTGCTGCGGCTGGTGGTGCTGCCCTGTTGGTTTTAATACTTGTTATATTTGTGTATGCTCTCCACCGGAAGAATAAGCCAGTAAAAGCAACTGGGAAACATAATCCTTTTGGTATAATAACTTTATTCTTAAGTCCTTCTTCATAGCTATCTATCCTTGAGGAGTTGGGTTTATTTAAATGTTTGATTTCATAAAATGCAGAACAATGGGGTCCGGATGAGAGCAGTAGTAGCATCCCACAGTTGAAAGGAGCAAGGTGCTTCAGTTTTGAAGAGATACAGAACTGCACCAAAAACTTCTCACAAGTCAATAATATAGGATCTGGCGGTTATGGGAAGGTATTGAATGCCTCTTGTTTACTTCATTTCTCTATAATAGTTAAGCAATGGTCAAATATATCAATATGAAAAAAGTCGTAAGGGACAAAGGAAATTCAGAATTGGGAAGTCTCAAATATTAGGGTAGAGTAGAATAATGTTATTGCTAAGAGTACATAAGATAAACATACACAATTGGAAAACTAATTTTGAAAATATAATAGCAACACTTAATGTATTCAGATCCCTATGATTCAGGATATAATCCAATCCTTATTATTTAGGTGGGATATAATTAAATTCCCACGATTCAGGATATTTATGTTATACAGTTTAATTATAAACAGTTAAATATGGAATAATAAAATATGATTACCAACTTAGAAAAAATATGTATTTTTGTTCCTAGCTTACAAACAATCCTTTCAAAGTCATTGCTATTCAGCCCCTTTGTTAGAAGGTTTGCAAGGTTGTCTTGAGAGGAGACATATGGAAGGCAGATTTGACCAAGTCTAATTTTTTCTTTGATGAAATGCAAATCGATTTCAATATGTTTGGTTCTATCATATTGCATCGGAATATGGGTTATGCTAATAGCAGATTTATTATCATAGTAAAGTCTCATTGGTTCATCCCACTTTATTCTTAAGTCTTCCAAGATGATTTTCAGCCATTGTAGTTCACAAATCTCTTGTTCCATTGTCTTTAACTCTACTTCAACACTGGATCTTGCTACCACATTTTGTTTTTTACTCTTCCATGTTACAAGATTCCCACCAAGGAAAGTACAATATCTAGTAGTTGATGTCGTATCCACACTTGACCCAACATAATCAACATTTGTATATACTTTAAGATTTACATTCCCATTTCGTTTGAATATATATCCCTTGCCCAAAGTCCCTTTCAGATATTGCACAATTCTTAGTGCAACCAGTAAGTGAATCTCCTTTGTTTGGTGCATGAATTGGCTGACTAGACTCACTCCAAATGCAACATGAGATCTAGTGTGAGACTATGAGTTTGCTAACTAATCTCTGGTATATTTCCTTGTCAATAGAGGTATCTTCTTCTACATTTCCGAACTTCAAATTTGGATCAATTGGTGTACTTGCAGGCTTACATGCTAACTTACTAGTTTCCTTGAGAAAGTTAGTAATGTATTTCTGTTGAGATATAAAAATACCCTTTTCAGAATGGGATACTTTAATTCCTAAAAAATTTTCAATTTTCCAAGGTCTTGATTTCAACTCCTTGGCTAGATGTTGACTCAATAGTTGTTGCTTCATCACCTGTCAATATAATATCATCCACATACACCACTAACATTGCTACTCCCCCTAATTTAATGTGTTTAACAAATCTTCAATTTTCCCTAGGTCTTGATTTCAACTCCTTAGCTAGATGTTGACTCAATAGTTGTTGCTTCATCACCTGTCACTGTAATATCATCCACATACATCACTAATGTTGTTACTCCCTGAAATGCAATGTGTTTAACAAACAATGTATGGCCTCCTTGGCTTTATTTGATACCTAAACCTATCATAATTTTAGTAAACCTCCCAAAGCAGGTTCGTGGTGATTGTTTTAGTCCATACAATGCCTTTTTCAGTTTACTAACAATACTGACAACAATTTTCCCACCATATCCAGGGGGAAATTTCATGTAAATCTCCTCTTCAAGTCCCACATAAATGAAAACATTTTTACATCAAATTGTTGCAAGTTCCAACCATAGTTAGCCGCTAGAGTAATAATAACCTGATTGTATTCGCTTTTGTAATTGAAGCAAATGTTTCCAAGTAATCCACTCCATGAGTTTGAGTGTCTTCCTTGACTACTAATCTTGCTTTGTACCTTTCAATGGACCCACAAACCTTGTATTTTATAGTATATACTCATTTGAATCCTATTGTTTTTTTTTTCATTTTTTTAGAGTAATCAATTCTCGAGTACTATTCTTTTCAAGTGCCTCCATTTCCAAGTTCATGGTCTATTTCCATTTTCTCTCAGTCAATCTCACACAGAGAGGTAGGTGTTGTGGTAGTGTTTAGGCTTGTAAGGAAGGCTTTATGAGTGGGTGACAAATGTTTAAAGGATAGATAATTGGCTAAAGGGTATTGTGACTTGATGATACATTTTCTAGTCTCTTTTGTAAGGACAATTAGAATGTCTAGGTCCTCTTAGGTTGGTGTCAAACTGGATTCAAGTTCCTATGCAGTTGAGAAATCAAATATTGATTCAATAGAGATTACAGGATTAGGAAAAACAGTTACCTCATGTAATGTTGGATTAGATTCATGGACATGGGCATAATGGCCGTTGTCTTACTTGTATAGACAAGATTTTTCCCGAATCTTACATCATCCCCATCTAGAGTGGGTTTAGTGGGTTCATAATCTGTTTCTTTTTTAGTCCCTATTTGTGGTCCAAGTCTATAATCAAGAGGCAGCAGAGGAGAATCCTCTTCCTTTCTTATAGTCTCTCTTTAAAGATGATCTAAATGAAAGTAACTTTGTTGCTAAAAAGAAGTGACATTTCTTGACACAACTTTTCGGATGGTGGGTGATAGTATATATATCCCTTTTCTGTGGGTGACTATCCTATAAAAACATATTTTAAGGCTCTAGGTTCAAGTTTTCCTCTAGCACCGCTATGGATATGGACAAACAATACACACCCAAATATTCTTCCAATGTTTATGTGATTTAGTCACATTGGGATTGAAAGAATACAGTATTTTTTTTAATATTGATATACTTCAACACTGAGTTATGTGTTCCATATCATACAATTTTATTTTATTTTTAATTTTTCTCTTTCTTTTTAGATATTAAATAAGTGAGTCCTTGTCAAAATATAGTAATAAAGGAGAGAGAGATAAAATTTTCATAAAGATAATATTTTGATCTTTCAACACAAATGGATCCTTTATCAACCAAGATTATATGATTTCCACAATTATCGCTTAAGTCTCTCCGAATTCAGGTTTTATTACTTGTTTGGAGGTTGTATCTTTTTCTTGCATGAGTTTTGGTCCAGTCCCTTCGTGCTTTTTGTATTTTCTCTCTCTTTCTTTTGTGGATGGCTTATGTGGTGGTAAATGATTGATGAAAATTTAAGGTATCAACCTAGTTGAGATGTTAAAATTTCATAATGTTGCCAAACATGGTTTTAATAAATAAAAAACAAAAAAACAAGATGGCTATATGGAAACCTTGTATTCCTGTAAGGAGAGAGAGAGAGAGAGAGATAAAATTTTTGCAAGATAAAATCCTGAAATTTCAACATAAATGGATCCATTGCCAACCAAGATGACATACTCAATTATATGTAATGAGAAAACCTTGTATTCCTGTATCCTGTACACATAATTAATCGCATGACATAGTTTTGTTACTCATTCATGAAGAGAAAATGAGAGATTTCGTTGCAAGTTTGTGACTATAACACCAAACCTTTTAATACTCATCTAGAAAGTTTCTTAAAGAATTAGATGACAGGTTTATCGGGGAACTCTTCCCAACGGCCAACTAATTGCAGTCAAGCGAGCTCAGAAGGAATCTATGCAGGGAGGGTTGGAGTTCAAAACCGAGATTGAACTTCTATCAAGGGTCCACCATAAAAATCTTGTCAGCCTTATTGGTTTCTGCTTCGAGCAAGGAGAACAAATGCTGATTTATGAGTATGTTGCAAATGGTACTTTGAAGGACACTCTTTTAGGTATATGTTTATCCACAATTCAACCTCAGTATAGCATGTGTAGCTTATGCTAATTTATTTTAAATAATAATCATTTGTCTTTCAATACTGTTTTGTTTTGAAAGAGCTTCAAAAAAATTATTTCCTTTCAATATACTAAAACAAACAGCTTTTATGGTCTGTGTAGGGAAATCTGGAATCAGATTAGACTGGATTAGAAGGCTGAAAATAGCCCTTGGTGCTGCCAGGGGTCTGGACTATCTGCATGAACTTGCCAATCCTCCAATCATACATAGGGACATCAAATCCACTAACATTTTACTGGATGAACGCTTGAATGCTAAAGTGTCTGATTTTGGTCTCTCCAAACCTTTAGGTGACGGTGCAAAAGGTTATATCACCACACAAGTCAAAGGAACAATGGTTTGTACATCCTCATCTACCATTTAACATTTTACACCAGTATTCAATGTGATTCATAAGAGACAGAAAAATTCTCCTATATATGTCTGAAGCAAGTTAACATCTTATACTCTAGATTTTAAGAATTGACACTGAAATTTTGTTTTCATGTAGGGCTACTTGGACCCAGAGTATTATATGACTCAACAGTTGACTGAGAAAAGTGATGTTTACAGCTTTGGAGTGCTAATGTTGGAGATGATAACTGCAAGAAGGCCAATAGAGCGAGGGAAGTACATTGTGAAAGTGGTCAAGGGTGCTCTAGACAAGACAAAAGGCTTCTGTGGTCTTGAGGAAGTTCTTGATCCTACTATTGAATTGGGGACAGCATTGAATGGTTTTGAGAAGTTTGTGGATCTTGCCTTGCAGTGTGTTGAAGAGTCAAGTTCTGACAGGCCTTCAATGAATTATGTGGTGAAAGAAATTGAGAACATGTTGCAGTTGGCCGGTTCAAGCCCCATTTTATCAGTATCAGGGTCCACTTCATCTAGTTATAACAATCCAACAAAGGGTAGTTCCCTCCATCCTTACGACAATGAATACTTTGATTCGAGTGTTGTCCTTCCACGTCCATAAATTCTGCCTGTGATGGACAAATTATTACATAGCCCTGTACTATATGGTCTCAATCAACCTTTTTGTATCATATAATTATATGTTTTTAATTTATGAGCTATGTAATGTTTTCTCAGTATGTAAGTATCTTCACTTCAAATGTAAGAAACAATGAACAAAAATGGAGGACATGTTAATAATGTATTATGCTGTTTGCTTAAGACTGAACACGAATGTTGAAGCTGAAGTTTGAGCAGAAATCCTTGTTTAGATTATTGTTTACTTTTTGTTTCTTATTGTTGCTGGGATTGTGTAGCATATAGTCCTTTTGAACATATTATAAAAATTGTTTCTGTTCAATTTGGCTAGCATAATAGTATTTTTAAGTAATGTATTTTGAAATCGTGTAAAACTGGTCCGAAATTTTAAGAAACAGGCGTGAGACATTTAATTTTACTAATAAATTTTGAAAAAAGGTTTCCAAATAATATCGGTTCACTTCAAATCTGCTTTCAAAAATCTGATAAATTCACCTGTTCAGCTTCTGATTCATATGAACTTAGGTGGACCGACCTATATACACTTGTACATGGTTTATTTCTTTAAATAATAATAAATATTTAAAAAGTTAAAATTAATATGCATGTCTATAATTTATATATAAAATCGCTTACTTAAAAATTAATTTAATTTTATTAATGTGAGTTAATTTTTAAAAACATTTATTTATTTTTGAACTTTTGTATTTAAATTTCTATCGGTTTCAAAATTTATGAAAATAGTTTGTTGTTCCGTAATCACAGTTTGATCGGATACATTTTTTTTTGTCTTAATCTGTCAAGTGGCCCATTTTGATAACAGTACATATTTATTAAAGGTTTTTGCTTTCTATAACCTACTGATTACTATCTACACCCCTAACTTCTCCACTTTGAGAGGAAGAAGAGGAAAGAGAGAAACTTTGGATTCCTGAAAGCTCAATTTGAAAAGTATCTCATGTTATGAAAAGTTTATTCTAAAATTTTTATTCCAAAAAATCTTGTTCCATAATGCATCTGATATTTTCAGAAAGTTTATTTCCGGAAATTTTTTTCAAAAAATATTTTATATATTCTGAAAACTTTATTTTAAAAAGCATATTCCAAAAAGAACATTTTAAATTACATCTCATATATTCTGAAAATCTTATTTCAAAAATACTGTTCCAAGAATTATATTCTCGAAATCCCATTATAGAAATTCTATAAAACTTGTTATGGAAAATTTCTAGAAAAGGTAATCCAGAAGTTACTATTATAAAGAATAGAATGATAGTTTTAAAAATTATGAGTTGCAGAAAGTAAAAGCCCTTGCGTAAATAAACCTTCAATATTTATATATGTGCAATCTATTCCTCAAATTCCATGCTTTCTTCATGCCCTTTCATGTATTGATTGAAAAATTTAAATTGTGTCTGATTTAAAATTTTTATTATGAAATTTGAAACAATTAAAAATATATTGACATCAAAAATACATTTTTAAAAATGAATTTTAAATTATAATCTAAAATGCATATTTAGAAATATATTTCAAATTTGTGTGTTATAAAATTCAAAATATATTTTTTAATGTATAAATGTATTCTAAATTTATAAATTATGTAATCCAGAATAGTATCATCCTAAATAAATTTTGAATTATTCAATTCAAAAAATTTCAATCAATATCTTGGTAATTTAGATTTTTCTTGAAGTAAAAATAAAAGTATTGGTTGAACAATGTTTGAGGTGTGGTGAGTCTTGTTGTACATAGAAAAATGGGTTAAATAATTTTAAAGTACTTAATAAATAACTAATTTTCATTTTTATTATTTAATAATTTTTTCTTTGAACCCTACGCTTAATAAATAAAAATGTTTAAGTCCGTAAATAAATATTATGTGTACTTATTTAAGTATAAGTTTCTGAAGTAATTTTTTTATTTTTTATCTCTTAATATATTTTTATTATAACGAGAATACATCATGGGGTGACACATTATATGGATAACAAAATAAAGGGTTAAATATGTTTTTATTCTCTATACTATCAAGTAGTTTTGGTTTTAGTCCCTCTTTCACAGTAAGGTACATTTTAGTCCTTCTCTTTAAGTAAACTTTGATTTTAGTCTTCCAAAATTAACACCGTTAAAAATCAGCTGATGTGGCTAACGGTAGACTGACACGATTTTTTTTCTTGCATTGACAGTGTTTCTCATCTTTTCTCCCTCTCTCTCCCTCGTCTCTTCCTTCCATCTTCCACCCAACCTCCCCACCCTCTGCAAAAAGGTCATTGACACTGTAAGTTCATTCTTCATTTTCGTGCACATGTTGAAAAAGTTTCCACAGTCAATCTTCCTTATCCCATTCAAATGGAGAAAGCAAAGAAGATGTTGAAAGTGGGTATGAACCATTTTCTTAGTTCCAGCTTACATAGCTAATGACTTTTTCGATTTGATCAACGATAGACCCTGTTATAGGTGTACATGTAATAAAAGAAACAACTTAAATATATGGCAAACCTTGTTATACGTTTTGCAAGCCTACCCTGCAAATGAAGGGAGCCATCAATGTCTTCCACAACAAGAATGGGATGGTTCCTGATGGCAATTAACAACTTCCTAAGGTCAGAATTTCCATTAACAACAATGAGTTCCAAGTCATAGACATCGAAATTCAGATAATTAGCCATAGCAGCAATCAAACTCGATTTCCCAATTCCAGGGGACCCGAAAGCAAGTACCCTCTCTTTCACGCCTTCCCAACACTCTTATATAAACCCTTCCTCTCTACAAACCTATCCAAATCCCTAATTATAATCTCCTTCAATTCCCAATCCATCGTCATAGTCACAAACCTCGAAGAACTGCACCGCGACGTTCGATTTGCCACGTCAGGACACAAGCCTCTACCAAAACGGCACACCGTTGAAGGAGTTTGTGATCTCGTCGTTGTCGTCCATGAAAAGGGACACGTGGTGCGATTTCCAAGACATGGTGGCGTGGAAGCGCTTCGTGTTTGGCGCCTCCTGCGACTTGAGGTAGAGATGTGCCACGGCGAAAAGCGGGTTCGGAGTGAGCCCGTTCAATTTGTCGATGACGAGGGTGAGTTATGTGGAGAAGGAGGAGAGGAGTTTTGATATTTTTGAGTGGAGGTGGTTTTGGAACTCTGGGGAAATGTAGGTGCGGGTGAACAAGCGGAGGAGCATCACGGTCATCATACATGTTCTCAAACGTGGCAAACATTACATGGCCAGACGTTAGCGGTGAGGGCAGTGGCTGTAGTGGTATTTTTGGAAGGTGTTGCGGTGAGGGACATGGCAAGGAATTTGAGGAAGCGGCGCAGGAAGGGGCAGCGGGTGGCTGAGGGGATTGTCGTTGGCTGAGGGGCGGTGGGAACATCTCAAGGGCGGCGGGGGGTGGGGGCGTTGCGCCGTTTGGGGGTTGAGGTCCATGGTGGGGGAATGGGGTTGGGTGTGTGGAAGGGGAGAAAATCTGGTAGGAGTGATGTCAGAAAAAAAAATTATGTGGCACTACACTGTTAGCCAACTCAGGTGATTTTTAACGGTCTCAGTTTTGAAGGACCAAAATTTAAGGTTTCGTTAAGGAGGAGGACTAAAATGTATCTTACTTTAAAAGAGGGACTAAAAACAAATTCGCTTGATAGTTTAGGAACTAAAAACATATTTAACCCTAAAATAAATTTAAGATAAATTATTATTTAAAGTACACAATCATGTCACACATAAAGCAACTTGAAAGATATGTGAATGAGAGAAATTATTATAATAGTTCTTCCATAAAATAAATTACACATACTATATTAAATATAATACAAATTTAATGATACATGTGTGATGAAGACTATTTTGGTAGCATTTTTCATACCAATAAAGAATTATGAAAGAAACGTGTTAATTAAGAGAATTAAATGATGACACGAGTATCATTGGTTACCATATAGAAGAATGAATTATTTGATAAACCAATAAGAGTGGTTTTAGAACTTAAAGTGACTTCAAACTAATCGCAAAAACCATTAATTGATTAACACTTCCAACCCTCTAATTTTAGACTTTTGAAAACGTTATTTTCTTCTCTTAATTACAAACAACAAAAACATTGTTATCATAAACTTCAAAAATTTCTATCAAATGGACTCAGTCAATGCTAATTCCTATTTCTCAACATTATCACTAATTTAAAATGTTGCACAAAACTATCACGATGATTAAAAGGATAATAAAAAAAATATATTTACTTTAATTATGATAGAAATTCGACGTGAATAAATAATTACTCATTAGATAAAAATGAGTGAAATAATTATAACTAAAAAAATCATAATTTTTTTAAGATTTTAAGTTAAAAATGATGTTATGAATATTTGTAGTTTATTGTTTGTCTTTAAAAAAATATTTTAAAAATTATTAAAAAATATTACTTAATTATTATATAATTGCATAATATTAACAGCTCATTTGTTTTAATTTCTATAACAACACAATATTTACATCTATCAATTAAAGAAAAATTTACATGCAGTATTAAGAACTTTTACAATTTCTCTTTAACCAAAGAAAGCTTTATGTCAAAAACTGATCATATAAAAATTGAACATATTTTATAGATGAAACTCTACTTAAAATACTATGCAAGTATATCATTATTAAAATACCTAATCTATAATAGATAATGATATTTAATATTATCTCTCTTTTTTAAAAAATTAAAAATTCAATTTTATTAAAATGATTTTACCTTTATAAAAATTGTTACACAGTATTCAAATTGTTTCACATAACATTATTCCATCTATAATTTCCAATAGATAAAAAGGTAGGCTTAACTTCTTTGATGCTTTCTTTCTTTTTGAAACTTAAATTGTCCTCATCTTCTTTTTTTAATATATGGTTTTGAAATTTTGAAGACGACTTGGACTTTAGGGTCTCCCACTCTAAATATATATAAATTAGATTCCAGATTCATGTATAATAAAAATTTCAATAAGTATTTTTAGATTTATTTTATCCCTTTGTATCAAAACGGCATATATTTTGCATCATGCATATGATAATTGTATAATACAAAATAATTGAAAACATTGAATATTATTGTTGGTCAGCACTCATTGTTTGACATGTGAAACAATCTAACAAACACATAAAACAAGAATTTAAATAAAATAATTAATTTATTTGGGACCCAATTTGAAAAAAAAAAAAGTTTATTAGGTAATCAAGATCATCTGATGTAAAACTTATTCAAGTTTGAAAAACAAGTAAAAGTCTACATTACAATAAATTCTCTTACACCACACATAAAATTAATCAAATTACACCTCAAGAGCTTTCTATAAAATGTTAAACTTCATATTCTTTTTAATTACAACATGCATATACAAAATGTTATTCAATTTTCCAAATTATTAAAATTTAATTACATCACATAATTTGACATATACTATAATATTTAAAAATAACTAATTTAACTAAAATAATTTTACAAACACACATATACATACATATATAGTTTTTGCATTATTTTTTTTAATTGATTACCCTGTGGTTACACCAGCCAATTTAAATGTCTTAAATCTTCCATACTTTTCTATATAAGAATTTTTGTACGTTGAGTCAGTTAGAATTTATTATACAGAAATTAAATTACACATAAATCATTTAAAAATTGACCTTTTTTTTTACTGATTTAACAATTGAATTATAATTATATATTATCTGATTCTTTCTATCAAATTTTATATATAAAACAATAACAGTAATAATACGATAACCAAATTAGACATGTTATATATATTATATTATACATTTTAAAAGTATATATACGAAGGTCCTGATGAAATTGGAAAGTTTTTAGTGCATGTTTAATGAATAATATCTGTCCTCTCTTTTCAAACAATATAACGACATGTGTATAATTTTAATTTAATTTGCAGCCATTTTAATTTCAAGATCAAAGTCATTGACTCGGTAACGAATTTATGACAAAACAGGAAGAAGAAGAAGAAGATGAAAACTTCAAATCGATTTTTCGTGTCATTAACTTCTCTATAAGTGGATAAGGTGGTGAATGAGTGATAATAAAGAGCACAGTTTTGTATTCAGCTCTATGGTGTTCTTATGAAAGTGGAAGTTAATTGATAATGGGTGAAAGAATACTGCTACCACTGTTGCTTTTCTTCAACTGTTTGCTCAGTGCAGTGGCACAAGATATTACCAAAGATCGTAAGTTATGTTTTAACCATGAGTTCCATCTTAGAAACTGGAAAAATATGCATGATTCTTCATGCAATAGAGAGAACTGAGAAGCCTTCCTCATGTATGATATAAGTCTTACCTTCTGCATGCATGTGAAAGTTTGGATATACTTGCATGTGTTAAGATTGAAGACTTCAATGAATGAAATATATAATTTTGCTTTTCAACGTAAAATTATCATGCAGTTGAAGTTCTGAAGTCTCTGAGTGAGTCTTGGCAAGGTCAAATTCAAAACTGGGAGGGTTCAGATCCTTGCAGTTGGAATGGCATTAACTGCAGAAACTCACGAGTGGTTTCCATGTAAGGTTACTTTTGATTGATTCTGTTTTGTTTACGTTGTTTCCTTTATTAATATATACTTTTGAGAGGGTATATAACTTTCTGGCTAGTGCTGCAGATCGTTAACAGATATTGGTTTGACCGGCCAGCTTTCTGGAGATATAGGATCACTTTCTGAATTGGATAATCTGTAAGCCTTTAAATTTAGATTGAGAGAATCATATATAATAAACTGGTCTGCATAAGGGTTAAAAAGAACATAAAAGGTTTGAAAAATCATTGAGCATATGTTAGGCTATGTGATTGCCAAGAGTTTACAAATGAATCATAATTCCCTTTTGAGACCTTTTTTCATGAATAGTCACTGTTTGTTTCCTAATAGTTTTCTCCTTCTCCAGGGATCTCTCAAACAATAGGGGCCTGACAGGACCACTTCCACGAGAAATTGGAAACTTGAAGAAGCTAACGAAACTGTAAGGAAATATTGGTTTTTTGTCAAGTTTATATATGGATCCTTTTACCAGCAGCAACAACAAGAATAGGCTATGACCCTTTCATGATGGTGAAACAGTTCTAACAAACATTGGTACTTTATCATGATCTTCCAGAACTCTTGTTGGTTGTGGTTTTACTGGTCGTATTCCAGATGAAATAGGATCTCTGCAACAACTTGAAGTCTTGTAAGATTTATTTTTTGCTGTTCATTTTTTTTAAGACAATTCAAATAATACCCTTTTGGTGGTAAGTTGAATTCTTGGGTAAATACACTAAAACAGAAACTTCTTATGGCAGATCTTTAAACTCCAACAATTTTGCTGGATCAATTCCACCTTCTATTGGCAATCTGTCAAATCTTACTTGGCTAGATTTAGCTGACAACCAGCTTGATGGATCCATCCCTGTATCTAGTGGCACTACCCCTGGTCTTGATATGTTACACAATGCATTGCACTTGTACATCAATTCTCTTCAGCTTCCAGTTTTTCTTTATCAATGATTTTTATTTATGCAATGAAAGGTGCATCCAACATATTTCTAATATTGTCTGCAGTCATCTTGGGAAGAATAGGCTTTCAGGACAAATTCCTCCGAAACTTTTTAGCTCGAAAATGACTCTGATACATGTGTAAGAGTTGTCCTTAGATTTATCATTTGTAGCATTTGAATATGATTGAACCAGTATGCAAAGTTTCCCATTTTCAGTTTCCTAAAATTAACTTGTCACATGTCAGAAAATTCATGCGACCAAAGTGAAAATATATTAACTGTGATATTGCAAAACTGAACAGAGATGCAAACACTTACATCTTTAGACATCGTCTTCCTTGAGAATAATAGATGTACCCTGCATGCACGCACACACATTTTGACAACACATTTTCTAACACATTCTCAAATATGTTTACTGGCAGGATTTTTCACAGCAATCTACTAGTTGGCAGCATTCCTGAAACGCTTGGGCTAGTTACGAGTTTGACAGTGGTGTGAGTGAATACTTAACTATATTAAATCTTCAAAAAGAATTTTCTTTAGAATTTTGCTTGATGCTTTTATGCTTAAATATATCTTTGTGGCTAGCAGGCGCTTTGAAAATAATTCACTGAATGGACATGTGCCTCAGAGCTTCAACAACCTTATCAATGTCACAGACCTGTTAGCACCTAAATTATAATGTGCCAACTACAGTTTTATTCTTCTTTATTCATATTTTGGTATCAATAGCAGGGGAAATTCAATCTTTGTACGGAAATATTTTTGGTTTTATACTTCTTACTTTTTTCAGGTTGTTGTCCAACAATAAGCTGGAAGGTGCGATGCCAAACCTTACTGGGATGAACTCACTAAGATACTTGTTAGTAAAAAAGTGTTCGTCTGTGGAAGTTTTCTATATTCAAAATAAATGTTTCATGTGTGACAAATGGATTAATTCTTCAAAATCTGTTTTGAAGGGATCTGAGCAATAATAGCTTTGAAAAGTCAAACGTTCCACTTTGGCTTTCGAATCTGAAGAATTTAGCAACCTTGTATGTCTTTCTTTTGCACTTGTTTCACTTTTGAATTCTCCATATATGTGGTTTCTTCACTTCAATAAATTTTACTCTCATGATGGTTGGCAGACAAATGGAGAATTTGTACCTAGTTGGAACCATTCCGAACTTTTTATTTAGCCTTGGCAATTTACAGAATGTGTGAGTCATCTGCCTTAATGATTAATCTTACAGTCTTTACTATCAGAAATAAAAATATAAATGAAGTTATAGATTTGAAATAACATACATGACAAATACCATGCAACATATTCTCAGTGTGCTGAAAGACAACCACCTTGGTGGAACCTTGGATATTGGCACCAACTATAGCAGACAACTGCGAGTTATAGATTTGAGGTCAAATTCAATTCAGGACTATAAGCAATCAAATGATCCCCCACTTATCAGGATAATGTAAGAGTTACTTGTTAATGATTCTGGGCCTTTTTCGTACATAGTTTATTTGTCACCTCATACAAGTTTAGCCTTCTTTTCCAGCATAAGATTCAATATTTACAGGTCTTTCTTTTTTAGCCCTTTTATATGACTAAACTACTAACTATTGAGTATTGACGGAACTTTTGTCTGCAGGCTCGCACATAACCCGATTTGCACTGAAAATGGAGCAGAAACTGTGAAGGATTACTGCACCAACCTGGATATCTTCGATACAAAGCAACAAAATAATTGTGAACATGGTAGCTGCAGCCCAGATCAGACTCTCAGCCCCAACTGCAAATGTGGATATCCATATACAGGAACATTGACTTGCAGAGCCCCTTCCTATTTTGACTGGAGTAATACAGCAAACCTGGAGGAAATTCTACTGAAGGAATTTCAATCTCATAATCTACCTGTTGATTCAGTTTCTTTAACCCTTTCAACTAAAGATCCATTTCGAGGTTTTGAGTTTATCATACAAATTTTCCCACTGGACCAAAATCATTTCAGCCAACAAGAGAAATCTAGTATAAGCTTATTGCTTGGCAACCGAAGTGCATATAGTGCATTTGATTTTATTGCAGGAAACCAGGTTGAAGGTAACTACACCACTAACTTTTTCACTCTATCATCTAGGCACAGAAATACTTATCCTAAGTTCTCTATCTTCTTCTCATAATAAAGGACCTAAGCAGTCAAGTAATTCATCAAGCACTGCAATAATTATTGGAGTAGCAATTGGAGGTTCTTCTCTTTTGCTAGTGTTATTAGCCCTGGCTGGATTTTATGCTTTCCGCCAGAGGAGAAGAGCAGAAAGAGCAATATCTCGAAGCAATCCTTTCGGTAAATAATTCTAAACTCAGTTCCTGAACAGCCAAATGGACTTCCGTGAATTTATATTAATTGACGCAGAAAAAAAAATTGCAGGAAACTGGGATCCAAGTAAAAGCAATTGCGGCACCCCTCAGTTAAAAGCACCTAGGCAGTTCTCTTTTAAGGAAATTCAGAAATACACAAACAACTTCTCACAAGCCAATGATGTTGGATCAGGGGGTTATGGAAAGGTCTTGATTGCTTCTTATTAACTTTAATGTGCTGCTGAGTTATGAATAAATACATAATGATGGGTGAGAACTATTCTTAAGAGAACAACAAAGTTTAACCTTGCAACCATACATGACTGGTCATGGACTTCTCACCCTATACTCAATTTCATAATACTTCAAAAGTATGATTTAGACACACCTGGCACAAGAATTTTTACTTACAAAACAATAATGTTAAAGATTATGCAAAGACTAAATATTAGACCAACTTATAATATATAAAAGAGGTACAAATATTATTCTACAAACTAATTTAGTAAGGTGGAGTTAGGCATAAACTCAATTACTAATAAATAATAACTTGAGAGTTAAAAATTTTGTCAATTAGCCACATAGTGATTAATTTTTGGAAGATCTCCTCAGTTAGTTCCTTATTCTAATTCTCCCACATTTCTAACCATTCCATGCACATGGAGCTTAAAGCTACCATCAACAGAGACATGATACTCCCTCATTGGCAACAAATTTAACAAGAACGTGTTATACATTTGTTGACAGAACTTTAACTATATACTTCTAGCAATAGATTGATAAGTAAATGTTCACAGGTTTACCGGGGAACTCTTCCCACAGGGGAAGTTGTAGCCATAAAACGAGCTCAAAAAGAGTCAAAGCAGGGAGCACAAGAATTCAAAGCTGAAATTGAACTCCTTTCCCGGGTCCATCACATAAATCTGGTTAGCCTTGTGGGATTCTGCTTTGAACAGGAAGAACAAATGCTGGTTTACGAGTTCATTCCTAATGGAACTTTGAAGGATGCTCTCACATGTACGTATTAAATATATCCAATTTGATAGTTAAAGCACATATTAATGAGTACTATTAGTATGGAATATTTTCACTGCATGACATTCATCTTTTGGTCAGTACTCAGTATTCAGTTTCCTAGGTTTCATCCAGAGGACATTGACAAGGCACTAAACTATATCTGGTTCTGAAAGATAAATTAACTTACTCAAATCCTAGTTCCAGTGTTTCTATTCTTATAAATATGTCAAATTCATAACTCCTAACGTACCTTATAAGTAATAACAATCATATGATCTATTCAGGGAAACGTGGAATCGCATTGAGCTGGAGCAGAAGGCTGAAAGTAGCCCTTGGTACTGCCAGGGGTTTGGCTTATCTTCATGAACATGCTGATCCCCCTATTATACACAGGGACATCAAGTCAAACAACATCTTGCTAGATGAGAACTATAATGCTAAAGTTTCTGATTTCGGTCTCTCCAAGTCTATCTTAGATGATGATAAAGATCATGTTACCACTCAAGTCAAAGGAACAATGGTTTGTATATGTATATCTTCTACTAGTTTTTGCTATAAAATAAGCAACCAAATAACTGATTGAAAGTTTTCAAAAACGTGGAGGTAGAATGTCATTTATTGCATTCTTTTGCAGAGTTTTAAAATAATTTCATGTAATTTTTTTTCTGAATTGAGAATTTTAATGAATTTTTGTAATCATCTATGCTCTTAGTACAAAACATACCAAGACATGGAAAACACATCATCTGTCTGGAGCAAAATCTAGTTTAAAATATTTTTCATTGCAGAAGATCTCATTGAACTTTAGTGATGACTGATGAGAATGAGTTCAATTTGTTGATGCAGGGCTACTTGGATCCAGATTATTATACTAGTCAGCGGTTGACTGAAAAGAGTGATGTCTATAGTTTTGGAGTGCTAATGCTGGAGTTAATTACTGCAAAAAGGCCAATAGAACGAGGGAAATACATTGTGAAAGTGGTCAGGAATACAATAGATAAGACAAAAGACTTGTATGGTCTTCACGAAACTATTGATCCAGCCCTTTGTTCAGGATCAACACTGGAGGGTTTTGAGAAGTTTGTTGACCTTGCAATGGAGTGTCTTCAAGATTCAGGAGTCGACAGGCCCACAATGAGTGAAGTGGTTAAAGAAATTGAAGAAATGTTGCGATCTCTTGGTTTGAACCTAACATCTGAATTAGCAGCATCCTCTTCATCCAGTCATAGATTTCAGGTGAGTATAGTGAGTTCCCAACTAGACCACCTTTACAGCAATGAATCTATTGGTTCAAGTGCAGAAAATTTATATTCAACAAGTGAGCACAGTTAAGTTAGTCTTTTTCTCAAGATTGAAGTCAAAGGACGTTTGTTTATTAGCATTTCTAGGCCAAAAAAGCAATTTACAAATTGTAGAATTAGAGTTTGTGGTAGTTAGCTTCTAAGTATAAGTCTGTATTATGCTTCACGTTTGCTTCTTTATCATTTATTTCCCATTTCTCTCCCTCTAAAGATGTGAAATGTAGAAAGAATATAGGTTCGGATATGGAACATACAAAAATATAGACCTTTTTGTTTTGTATATGGGCGTGGTTTATCAATTTATGAATGAGTTCAATGGCTTTTCTTTTACACCATCTATAATCTAATCAACAGATGCATAAAATTGACTTCTAATAAAGAGTATTTACTTAATTTGTAAATAAGTGGCACCACATGTTTTCCTGATAATGTATCAGTTCAACAAAAGTAAAACCTGCAGTACTTAGCCACCAAGTAGAATTTAGTTACTGTCTTTGCACGCAATCAAGTAAAAGCAATGATAACCAATACATGTTGAAGTTGTTGAAACAATGCCAGTTAATGATCCCCCAAGAAAATGTATACTTAACGATGGGATGAAGCCACATCACGACCATAAACTTGTTATTAGCAAAGTAGAAAGAACCCTCCCTTTGATTGTTCTAGTGGAACATCATGATTTAGGAAAATTTTGCTTGTTGTTTGAAAGTTGCGCAATGTATGTATAGAAAAAAAGAACTTGTAACACCAAGATGAAAATAAAAAGCAAGTTTGAACCTAATTATTCTTTTAGTATACCTAACAATTTCATATCGCTTAAGAGCCGGCTGAGGTTAAAAACAATTTATACACTTTTCTCCCTTAATTTCCACCTCTTACAAAACAGTGTTAGAGCTTCAAAGCGGAATGAGAGATTTGTTAGTTACTCGATAAAATAAGGGAACAAAGTACCATTTTGACAATAACATCTTAGATGTTACGTTTACTCTATAAGTTTTCTGGCTCAACTTTTTATTTTAATTATAGCGACAACAACGGCTTAAACGAATGATGTTACGTAAAGTATCAAAACCTTTATCGTCATTAATCAGTTCTATTGTCCTCGTTGCTCATAATTTGGTTGGAAGATTATGAAACTCACTATAGTCACCACCGGTGCATGAAATTGATGGGAGTGAAGTACTAGTTATCTTAACAGTGCAATATAAATTCAGAAGAACTTCCATTTTAGTCAAGATCTTAACATTTTCTCGCAAGGTGATAAAAAAGCTTCCCTAAGTAATCTTATGCGTTCATACACTTACCTCAAGTCATTGGTTTCTCCATTAGGGATGAAATGTACAACACATTCTTGTGAACCCCATCATCAAGTTTGGTTCCAACTTGCCACCTCAATCTATTGAATCCAATTCGATCCAACATAGGCACGTAAGTTTTATTGAGTTGTGACGCAAAGCAAAAGAAATGATCAAGCCAGAACAGACCACCTGGCCTCAAAACCCTGTATATATCGAATAGTACAAACTCAAGCATGGTGTCTGGTATCCAATTACTCAAGACATCCATGGAGTGTACAATGTCCAGTGTGTAGTCAGAGAATGGAAACCTTTGAGAGATGCTAATATGCATCGGTACCAAACCCCTTGATGCAATGATGTTGTTGAAAGGAGCATCCAAATCCAGTGTGCTAGTGATGATGATGACATTCCTTTCCCTCATCCTTGCAGCAAAAGTTCCAGTTCCACCACCAATGTCAAGTCCAATTCGAATAGTCCCTGCAGGTTTGGTTGCAAGAACTTGGTCTATTCCAAAACCAAGTCCACCATCATCAAAGATCCACCTACTCCTCTCTTCCCCTTGTAAATCAAAGCAACTCTTGCAATTGTATGAGCCAGGCTTATTCTTTCTGTCAACAAGGCACTGGTAACTTTTACAAGCATAAGCCTCCCATACAATGCTGGTGTCTGGTGGGGTTGACCAAAGGCTCTCAGGCAAAGGTGTTGGCTCCACATAATTTGCAGGAGACCTGGGGTGGCATCTCCTACGAGGGAGTGGCTCACACCCTTTGAGCATGAGCCTTTGTGCAAGCACATAATCCATAGGGCACTCCCCTCCAATCTCATACGTCATATATCGATTTAACTCATCATGGAGCTTCATGCAGAATGCACCAACAGGTGTGTGAATCTCATCCGACCCTATCATTGGTGAGTACCCAAAGGGGAGCTTGTGAGGACCAAGTGCAAAAGTAAGCTCATCATTCCCTAATTTCCTACTCACTTGATTCTGATCAGCACTGTTGGATTGCTTTTCTTGTTGACGCGTAAGGTCGATAAGCAGCGCCTGGACAAGTAAGTTAGAGGAGTTGAGTCTGTGGTGTAGTTCAGACAAGAGTGAGTGAGTGGCAGCAAGTTGAGCTCTGGTGGAGTTGAGTTCCTGCAAGATAGAGTTTGAGTCACGAGAACTCGTTGAGGAGTGGTACAAAAAACTAAATGGACCAGTGAAGATGTAAATGGTGGCAAGATTGGTGAGTATGACTAACACAATAGGCTTCAGCTTGTGCTTTTGGCTGTGAGCATATGCTTGCAACTTTTTTGAGTATTGTTGGTCATGAGCTTCGTTTCCCATAATGGCTTAGAAGAGAAAGGAACAAAACGAGGTACAAGTGAACAGAGGAGGGGAAATATTTTGTGTAATTTAAGGAGGGAATTTAATGATTTGCAGATCCAAGGAGGGAAAATAGTTCCACGTTCTGTACATGTTTTTAGCAGTGGAACATGAACATTGGTCATTGTGAAGCGCCGGTGTGGACGTTCTAGGAATATAAATACTAAAACCTGCCTCGTGATTTGACCCTTAATGGTAGGGAAATTGTAGCCCCTGCTAGTTGAGTATGCCTATTATTCATAGCTTGCTTCTTGTTACTTTACCACCATCTGCGGATCTCGCCCACAAGCTCACTTTTTCTGGCCAGGAATTCGATATCAACACCACATTACTAAACACATTTTAACAGATAATTTGGTTGCTCGAAAGATTTGATCGCTATTAAAAAGTTCTGGCTTTGTTCTTTCTTCAGTCAAAAAATAAAGGATGGGAGGTTGTCACGTTTTCATATGTTTTACTAGTCTTAACAATGATCTATAACATGCTTCTTTTATATTTTCTTCGAACCAATTTCAGTTTGCAGTTCAATCAGTGGAATGAACGAAAGAGTGGTTCTTTCCTTTTTACTAAATTAATATTATAATTAGAATTACTACATAATTTAAAACAGCTTTTTGTTCCCCTGAATTTTCCTTCTTTGCCTTAAACGTGATATAAAAATACTTCCATCAATTTATTCTTATTATTAGCTGGAGCCATTATTGACGAGAACAGGGCCTAAAAGCAACAGTGGATTCTATGTCTTCAATTCTATCTTAGTATTCCACGCAGTCATTTTAGTACGCAAAAATTGTATAATATGACAGTTTTCTTTTTATTCGTATGAGCATAGCAAAAGCCTATAACAAACTAACTATCATTTTATATACGTATAGCAACTTTATTTAATGGAATTATGATTCAAGAATCCTGCATTGTTATTATCAGATTAGAGGTGAATGCTACAAAGCCCCTCTAGTTTAATGGTTTGAATATTAAAAGTGCTGATAAGGACTTGACCGTAACCAATGGAAATTGCATTTATGAGACCTCCTTAGTCAACATACAAATATAAGAGACTGCAACATAAATTACAAACTGTGCAACATTTCAACTACAAGCTACATCTTACGACTTTTCCCCTGGGGATTATCTAGACCATTATTACTACTGTTTGCATGGACATTCTCATCTTCGAAAAATAAATAGGATATGACTCTTTTGCAAATGTTTCGAAAACTTGCAAGAGGAAAATGACTCCCAGATTCTTTATGAAATATTTCACTCTAAAAATATATTTGACTTCATGTGATAATCTTTCTCTTGCGTATTTCTTTGTATTATATGGCAAAATACTTCTTTGGATGAATAAAAAGACTGATTATATAATGTTTTCCTATTATATTATCATATGCTAAAACCAGAATCCTATTGAATTTCATACGATAATAGGTTTTGGGGATGCTATAAACAAATGACAGGTTTTCCTTGGATTTGAATCTGATCAGGGGAAAGTAGATCAAGTGACATGGGTGTATCTATTCTTAATTTTGACACTGCATTAGGAATTAAGTTAATTCAAATCAAGATAAATACACTCCCACTTTTCACTTAACACAAATCTTTAAGTTTAAAGGAATTAAACAGACACCAAAATCCATGTTTATAAAATGAACATAGTGACAACAAAATAGATATAAATTACTCTACTTATACCTTGATAAGCTTGACATAATGGCATTCGTTATTACTTCTACCTTGTATCAAAAATAAAAATATAAAGCAGTGATTACTTTTGCAGACGAGAAAAAACTAAATGAAAACTAATTACTCTGTGAGGGTGAGCGCTGCAGGAACCCTTTGGCTATAAGGCTCTCCGCTGCTTCTCTCACAGCATCTTGAACTGGTGTGAAGACAAGGCCCAAGTCTATTAGTCTCCTTGCTGCACCATTACAAGGAACCAGGCCAGGTTGTGTTTCTTCTGGGAACCTGCATGTAGGTCTTGCTCAGAGAATTTGATAGCTTTAAACAGATAAAACTTAAATATGCATTCTATCTTGTTTAATTACAAACTATCTGGTTTTATATAAATCTGTTAGGCACCATAGCTGTAGAAAAGGAGCAAACAATCAAACCTGTGGATAGGGAATTCAGGGTACAATTCAGAGACAGAGGCAGCAAAACCAGAAAACTGATAGATACCATTGGTGCAGAGATATCTACCAGAAGCAGAGGGAGTTTCGTAGAGCAACACATGAGCTTTAGCAACGTCCTTCACATGCACCGCACCCAACCAGTGATACTCCTGCGTCTCCTTCGACCCCATCATAAGCCTCTGCAGCACGCCGGAGCTCGCGTTCAGCTCCGGCTGCAGCAACGGACCCAGACACGTCGCCGGAAGGACCGCCACTACCTCGACACTGCCCTCGAACTTCCACGCCGCCCTCTCTGCCTCTGTCTTCGCCACAGGGTACCACTTCCCCTTCGCCCTGCAGAACTCCACGTCTGTCCACGACTCCTCGTCCACTACCCTTCCCGCCGGCCACCCCGGGTTCGGCACCATTGCCGAGATCGAGGACGTGAGCACCACGCGCCGCACGCCCACGCTCCTCGCGGCTTCGAGCACGTTCAGCGTGCCCTGCACCGCGGGTTCTAGAAGCTCGCTTTGAGGGTCCGCGGGGTCCTCCAGCGTGCAGGGGGACGCAACGTGGAAGACGCCAGAGCATCCCGCGACGGCGCGGAAGACGGCGGCGGCGTCGAGGAGGTCGGCGGGGAAGACGGTGATGCGGGAGGCGGCGGCGGGGTGGAGGGTGAAGAGATGAGAGGCGTCGGAACCGGGGAAGATGGCAGCATGGATGGTGTAGCTATGGCTTTGGTTCTCCAAGAGGGTCCGAACCAGCCACGAACCGATGAAACCGTTGGCGCCGGTCACGCACACAACCTCGTCGCCTGGGTTTTCGTTGGCCATGGGGATGGAAATGGTTTTCTATTGAACGATTTGATCCTTAAATAACCATTTCTTTTGTGATAAATGGAATTGTGATCCAAATCTGCACTGTGATCACACCGTGAAAGGAAAGTGACAGTAAGCTAATTTCACACTTTCTGATTTTTTTTGTATCAACATCAAAATTTACTTCACTTGTAAAAAGAACAAACAAAATACTTGCATAATGCCAAAAGTTGTTTTTGTCTGATACATAAAAATACTGGTATATTTGAAAGTTGCCTTTCACAACAATTTCCTCTTTTATATACACTTCCTATCTCTCCGATTACCTTCCCATATCCACCGCCTAGTACCGCTGCTGTAAGCCATTGCCGGCGACCACCGCACCAGTTTTTTAACGGTTTTGAGCACATGAATCGCTACAAAATATTCAGCTTCTCAATTTAAGATATTATAAAGTTTATAATCAGTTTTTGTTTTTATTAATAATTTAATATGGCGATTGTTACCGGCAAGAACCTCTGCCGGAGAACAGTTTCAGAGGACATTGAATTTGTTCCGCAGCTATCATCAACTGAACCAACCGAATCGAACCAAAGCCAGCGAAACTGAACTAAACCGATTCAAACTGAAACGAGTCAAGTGAAACCAAGCTGAACTGAGTTAAACCCAATCGAATCGATTCAAACCGAATCTAACCGAATCTAAATAAACTAAGCCAAACCGAGTATAGGAAAATCAAACCGAATCGAACCGAACGAAGACAAAACAGATTAAACTGAATCGTGTCGAACTGAACAACTGAAACAAACCAAACTGAACCAAATCAAACCGAATTTAACCAAACCAAATTGAACCGAAACTACTCAAATCGAGCCTAACCCTGCCGAATCTAACCGAAGCTAACGTATTAATATCAATACATTTTAAATATTACATATAAAAAATTATTGTGATGATATAGTTATATATGAAAAATATTGCAATTTAAAATATAACATACTCATTAATTTGGATTAGTTTCTTAAACTTTTCTTATGAGTATTGGATCACCCAATATCTATTTTGGCATTTTCCTCTTGTACAAAGGTTCCAACTTTTGGTTTGGTGCCTTGTGGTCACCCTAGAAAGCCAGTGGCCAGAGACCAAGCGGTGTGAGTGAGTGCTTTCTCCTTGTTTGTTCTCTGCTCTTATTCTCTCTCTGTCTCTCCACACTTTCATCTTCGACTCTGATGGCGAGCCTGTGGCGCGCGGCGACCGGCATGTCTGACAATTCCACCGACTACGACGGCGTCGAGTTCTGGTCCAACCCTGAGCGAACCGGCTGGCTAACCAAGCAAGGCGAGTACATCAAGACTTGGCGTCGCCGTTGGTTCGTCCTTAAACAGGGCAAACTCTTCTGGTTCAAGGATTCCGCCGTTACACGCGCCTCTCGGCCACGCGGCGTCGTCCCCGTCGCCACGTGTCTCACTGTCAAAGGCGCCGAAGACATCCTTAACAAGCCCAACGCCTTCGAGCTTTCCACGCGCTCCGACACTATGTACTTCATCGCTGATTCCGAGAAGGAGAAGGAAGACTGGATCAACTCCATCGGTCGCTCCATCGTCCAGCACTCCAGATCCGTCACCGATTCCGAGATCGTCGATTATGATAGCAACTCCGGAAAGCGCTGACCACGACCTCTGCAATTCACTTGCCTCTTTCGGTGAATTCTTCTTTTTCCTTTTTTTCACTCTGTTTGTGTATATTATAATGGTTATAATTATGACTTTAATAGCCGATCGTTGGCGTTCTCACGAGGGAACTCTGTTTAAGTACTTTAACTGCTATCAAATTGTAATGTTTTTGGGTTTTGTGGATTGGACCAATCTTTTCAATATTGTTTCTGAATTTCACTCCTTCACATCAAATTCGGTTTAGTTTCATTATTGGCTAATATCTTTGTGCTCTAGAAATTGAGATCATTTATATATCAGTGAGAAGGTGAACAACATGATTTGAGTTTCTATTGTGTTCAATTATTCTTGAGGAAATCCGGCTGCAGTGCGTTGCCCTCAGCGAAAGTGTGAACTCACATTAGCCTCCTCTGCCTACTAAATTGGATAAAATATATATATATAAGATGCTTCATGGATAAATATCGTGTAGTATCGGATTCTTTTTGGTTAAGAAAAAGTGACGGGTTGAATCGATGTTTTAGATATACATTTAAGCCATTCCCATTTCTAGGACAAGGCATTATTATAGAGAGGATGGGACAGTAACATGAGAAGAATAAAAGAGGGATGCATGTGAGACTTATCCCTAAAATTTGAGCTGACAATTGTCGAGCATCCTTTGCTATTCTGACACCATTTCCTATATTGTTGGCCTACGAAGCCTTTTGAAGCTCTTAAGTGCCTTTGTGACCTTCGACGTTCTGTTGTCACTTAAGCTCTTAACTCCTATTCTATTCTGGTTGCTGTTAAAACTAATATGCATTGTGGTATGGTTACTTGAATACCAAATTTTGCTTATTGTTATTTCCTTGTTAGTTAAGACTTGACTGTGATTCTAATGTCATATAGTTTATCTCTAGTGGAAAATACAGATTCTTTCATGAAGATTATATATTTTAGTAGTTAATTCTTTTGCACTAAACTATTTTATTAGTGGCTGACTTTTTAAATATAAATGTTATGCATTTGACCAAAAGATTAATTGCTGTAAGGGTGGTCCTGTTGGGAACTCAGTACCGTCCTGAAATCTATTACTGGATGAAGGGGATGCTACTGATTCAAATGTTAGGTTCATACCGACAGATCGCAGCATGTCTTTAATTTCTTTAACCAGTTTACTCATTGTGGGCCTGTCGACTCCTGACTCTTTAAGACACTCCATTGCAAGGTCCACAAACTTCTCACCGTTCAGTGTTGATCCTGAACAGATGGCTCGATCAATAATTTGGTGAAGACCATACAAGTCTTTTTTGTCTTATCTATTGTATTCCTGACCACTTCACTATGTATTTCCCCCGTTCTCATGGATTTTTTGGAGTAATTGGCTCCAGCATTAGCACTCCAAAACTATAGACATCACTCTTTCTGGTCAACCCTAACTAGTATAATAATCTGGGTTCAAGTAGCCATACATTAACAAATTGGATGCATTCTCATCAGCCATCACTAAAGTTCAATGAGATTTTCTCCAACACAATATTTTGAAAAGTAGATTTTGCCCCACATAGACGATGTGTTTTCTTTGTCTTGGTATGTGTTGACTGGAAGAGCTTAGATGCTTACATAAATTCATGAAAATTCTGAATTCAGGAAAAAAATTAGATGAAAAATATTTTAAAACTCTACAAAAGCATGCAATCAATCATATTCTACCTCCACGCATTTGCAATATTCCAATTAGTAACTTTGCTGCTGCTTTTATAGTAAAAATTCATAGATGTATAAATACAAACCATTGTTCCTTTAACTTGAGTGGTATCATGATCTTGATGTCCCTGTGTATAATAGGGGGATCAGCATGTTCATGAAGATAAGCCAAACCCCTTGCAGCACCTAGGGCTACTTTCAGCCTTCTGCTCCTGCTCAACGCAATTCTGCATTTACCTGCATACGTGTTATTTGTTATTTGGTAGAGTAAATACCGAGTTATGAGTTTGACAAGCACTTACAGATTTGAATATCACATTTATAAAAAAGGAAAAACTGGAAATTGGATTTAAGTAAGTTAATTTGTCTTTCAGAAGCAGATATAGTTTAGTGCTTTGTCAATGTCCTTTGGATGATGCTTAGGAAACTGAATAGTGAGTACTGACCAAAAGATGGATGTAATAATAATACTAATATAGTATGTGCAGTAAGTATCAAGCTGGATATTTAGCTCGTATAGCAGTATGAATATTATTGAAATTCAATTTGGTTAACTTGTTAACCATTCAAGTTATTGTTGTTTTGTAAATAAAAATGCTTCTGCCAGGCGTGTCATACTTCTGTATAGGGTGAGAAGTTGACCAGTCATGTATGGTTGCAAGGTTAAACTTTGTTGTTCTTTTAAGAATAGTTCTCACCCGTCATGTATGTATCTTATTCATAATTCATAGGATTACATTAAAGTTGACAAGAAACATTCAAGACCTTTTCATAATCCCCTTATCCAATATCCTTGGCTTGTGAGAAGTTGTCTGTGTATTTCTTAATTTCCTTGAAAGAGAGCTGCCTTGTTGCTTTTACTTGGATCCCAGTTTTCTGCATTTTTGTGAAAATAAATATAAATCCACAGAAATCCTTGTGGCTGTGCAGGAACTGTATAAATAATTAAGGATCCAAAGTATTGCTTCGAGACATCGCTCTTTCTGCCCTTATCTTCTGGCGGAAAGCATAAAACCTGCCAGGATAATAACAATAGCATAACAGAAGAACCCCAATTACTACTCCAATAATTATTGCAGTTCTTGATAAATTACTTGACTGCTTGGGTACTTTATTATGAGGAAGAAGATTGACAAATTAGTACTAGTATTTCTGTCTCTAGATAATGGGCGAAAAAGTCATCATCTGAATATAATATTTAATTATTAAAAGAGACCGTCAGGTAAAAACCATTATTTTTCCAAAATTTATATGCATAATTTTCTTCAACAATTTATGTATCATGATGAACTTAGAATGCTCCAACTTGTTATTCAGGTTCCTTTCTAGCAGAATAACGATTCAAAGAAAGTCTTTTTGCTTTTTATGACGAAGAGTTACAGTTCTAATCATTTTAACTGCAGAAAAAAATGATCTCTGAATCTCTGAAAAAAGTAGAGAAGCTGACAAACAAACAGGAGAAGATATATTCATATGAATGGCATATATCATACCCGCCATTAGCAATTTCATCAGTGCTATTTTAAATGTGTATGTCACAATCGTTGTGGCTGGAGAACTGTTAAAAAGTAAGGTTGTTTTCTTCTAAGTTGTACATCTATGATTTATTCTATCCTCAAATATTGTATGCATCATTGTCTTCTCTCATTTTTCATTGCTGTGTAAAAAATATAAGCTTGAAGTCTTTTATTGGATAAAAAGGAACTAATAATGTCTTTTGTTTCTCCGTTTGTGTTTCTCATACGTAAGACTCGAACCCTCGCTGAGCAAATTCCAAACTGTATGTTACCTTAAATATTTGAAATTAAAAATCACAAAAATGGATTTTCCTCTAATCCATGGTTCCAATGAAAGTAGGAGAACTTCATTCATGTATGTAATCCAACAAACACGTGATTAAGAGGGGTAACTTTGTAACAATAGAAATGTAAACGTCCAAAAAAGGTTTAATATTTTTTCAATCACTGCTTATTAATTTTGAGTTATAAATTACTTTTTAATTTTGGAATAGGTTTATCGAATGTAAATATTTTATTTTATATTCATACAAAGCTAATTTTTAAATTAATTATTAAATTATACGTCTTTATATAATAAAAAATTACTCCTACAAACGTATATTATTATTATTATTATTATTATTATTAATTATTATGAAAAGAAGAAAATATTTGTTTCTCTAAAGAAATTAGAACTTAGACAACTGAAAAATAAATAAACTTAAAATATGAATATTATTTTCAATAAATATAATTAAAGATAATAGACTGTTTTATATAAATAAAAATTTAAGTAAATGTAACCACCATCTTTAATCAGTATAAAATTATGCATTTTAAGTATATTTCATTTTGAAAGAACTACAGTGAAGCAACCGACAAAGACAATCAAATCATTAGAAAAGAAAAAGTGAGTTAATGACAGAGTAACGAAGAGCAAAGGAAAAACATAAACGAGAGTTGAGTAATTGAGTTCCTTAGTGGCGCTCACAAATTGTTTAGAGATCCCATTAAACAGGGGAAGCAAAAACAGCGTTGAACACAGTAACAGAAAGCGATTGCGAGAAGATGGAGGAATCAGAATCGACGATTGACAAGGTGGTGGAGGAGGTGGAAAAGGTGAAGAAGGAATGGGATGAAACGTACAGGAAAACGCAGAAACACATCGAGGCAATCGCAGAATATGGAAAATCAGGAAGAGAGAAAGAGGAGAAAAATTCGCTCGCTAGGTTGAACGGGATCGCTCAGGATGGCTTGTCACTCCTCTCTTCCTTTCTCTTCACTCTCGATCTTCTCGCCCCTCAGTTGCCCTCCCCGCCGGAGGTCAAATCTGCACGCGCATTGCTTCAATCCTGGAAAACCCTAACTCAAAAGTACCGCCCACACTCTTCCTGAAATGGAGATTAAATTCGTGTTTGTTTGTTTGTTGGCTTTTGAATTGATTGAATAGTGCATTGATTTGAATTAGTGGTGGTGGATTATCAGTTTATTATTTTTCAATTTCTGTTGATAGTGTTTATTTTTTTTAATTGAACAGTTTGCGGCTGAATCTGAGGAATGCCAATTTGCAAGCAAAGGCTAAATTGAGGAAAACTGCTCAGGAGGAGGCAATATACTTACTTTTCCTATTTAATTTTTGTGATGTTATTTGGAAGGTTTTCTAGTCTTATCGATAACCGCCCTGCTGAATCTATATTACTATTTAGCTATTTGAATAAACTTCTGCGGTAGTTACTGTAGTAGAAGATTTGGATAAACTTCTCCATAAGTTTCCGTTGTTGAAAGATTATGGAGTTATTTATATAAACTTCTCAACACATATGCTTAAAAAGGAAAATAAG